CTCAGCCCCAGATCGAAGCCGTCAAGATCGGGGCCGGCCTGGCTCGCGCTGACCATACCGAATGCTGGTCCCCGTGACCCCCGCTCCGATATGTATGGCGGCATCAGACTTGCATGTGGCACAGGCCGGCTGGAGTCCTGGACGGCGCCTTACTGGTCACCCATTTGACTTGTCTGGCTTGTCGATAATCCCACCTGCCCGCTCATAGGTCTTCGGAACGTGTGTGTTGAAGTTTGTCTGGCTCTCATTGGTGCCCGCGATGCAGTTACGCCAGCATATTCCGACGTTGCCTTCATGACGGCTCTCGCACATCGCAGTTCTCCATCCCGAGCCTCTTGCTAGCGATGGTAGTCAATGCAGGCCTATCTGATGTTACTTGCAATCTAGGACAATCTACATCACGGGAACGATCCTTAGACGGGATGAACGGGACGGATGATCTCGTGCTCAGCCATCAGGTAAGACCGGATGTGTCCATCGGCGGTTCACCGATACACCGGAGACGCCAGGCAACACTAGCTAGTAAGGATGTTGGGATGACAGTCAAGATATCAAGACGCACGAGGGGGCCTGCTTTCAGGTTCATGAAGCTCAACTGCGCTTCTTATTCCATTTTTTTTTTCTTCAATCTTTCTTCTGCTACTGCTCTGCTCCCCGCGAAAGATGACGCACAACGTTCAAGACAGATTTGCCCAACCTCTAGATCATCCCCGCTCCATTGCTTGTGTGTGTTCTGTCCGAAAGTATTAAAAAGACATTATTGTTTGGTTGATCCAGGGGCCCATGATTCAAAACACCTCGCCCATAAACGCCGAGCATGTGATAAAAAGCTTTGTGCAAGAGGGTATTCAAAAGAGCGGACGTGACAGAACACACGGCAATAAACGACGCTTCTTCCTCCGCCATTCTTCCTGCTTCCGTCTCTTTTCTCTTCTTTGTTTTCTTTCATCCCCCAAAGCAGTTCGGTAGCGTGCTGACTTAGAGCAGGAGAGCAGCGCCGCCGATCAAGCTACCGACGAGGACAGCCAGGCCAGCGCTGCGACCCATTTCCAGGGCCGCGGCGCCGCTGCCGGACGACGAGCCGGAGGAAGAGGAGCCGGAGTCGCCGAGGCCGGTGTAGATGGCGCCGCTCGTCTCGGAGGCCGTCGCAGAGGCGGTGGCCGTGCCGGCGGTGGAGGTCGAGTTCTGGCGGGTGGGGTTCTGGGCGCCGCAGGGGTTGTTCTGGCGGCAGTTTGACGAGCACTGGTTGGCGCCGAGGCCGCAGGCCTTGACGCACTGGTTGCCGTACTCCTGGCAGACGTGGTAGGGCAGGGTGAGGGAGTACTCGGTCATGTTGGGCTGGTTCTTGTCGCCGCAGATGCAGCCGTAGGTGAGGGTTTCCTGTTTGGGGGGGGAAAGAGGTCAGCTTGGCTCCTCCATGTTTTACTGTTGATGGCCTTGGCTACTTACAGGGTCGCAGTCGTTCACCAGGGTCGTCCGGGGCTCGACCTGCTGGCAGATGATGGGGCATGTGTTCTTCTCGTCGGCGCACCAAGCCTCTGCAGGTTTCTTGTTAGCATACTGGCCAAATCACCAACCACCGGGTAAGTGCTTCCGGAGGTGACAGAGGAGGAACAACTTCGTACTTCTTGTGGCCAGAGGAACGGATGAGGGCTCGACGTAGTAATCAGCCTGGGCCGTGGCGACAAAGGCCGCGGCAACGGCGAAGACGGTGCTCTTGAACGAAGGCATTGTGATTTGTGGGGATGTGTATATGCTGAACCGGTGTCGAAAAGGATTCCTTTTGGGTATATGTACGGGCAAGTTGTTGTTGTTGTCGTTGAGGGGGAGAAAGATTCCCAAGAAAAGTTGACAAAATTCAAATATTAATATCGACTGTAGTGCGTTTCCTGGTCAGCAACCCGCCTTGTGTATGTTTATAGACATCATCTTTTCGTCCCTATGCGGTCCTTTTGCTGCATTCCTAAAGTCTCCCCAAGCCAGGCCAAGGTCTTGGGGGGGTGATATGTCCAACGCCTATTCGGGCCAACAACACATGGCTTTTTGGCCCAATTTAGGGTGATTGGGGCGGGCAGGCGGGCCAAGGAGGCCAGAGCTATGAACGAGGCGTTGAGGAATGGGCGGTTTTGACTTACGCACTAATAATAAAATGGAGCCCTTTCGTTGCTGACGAAAGTGGACTGGTCTGGCCGAGAAGGTACTAGTAGCGATAGTGAGGCTGGAAAATCGGTTTGTTTTGTGCCGTGTGTATAATGTTGGCAACTGGCGATGCTGGAGCGACTGAGATGTGAGGAGTCTGGGGGGAGAGGATGAAGAGGTTCGGGTAAAATATATGTGCAGACACGTTCTTCAACTGTGTAACGACAGACCGAGACAAGACGATACAGACACACGCGGAGGGATTCAGGAGGGAGGTGAAAGGTGGAAAAGGGAGAGGAGAGAGGAGAAGAGAAGCGGAATGGGAATCGTCAGAGAAGTTGACGGTTCATATTCAAAAAAGCCCCGGGGCACAGAGCCGTGGGGAGGAAGGTGAGAAGGAGCAGACAAGCCGGACGCACGACTTTTGCCAAGCGGGCACTAAGGTTGACTAGCACATATTCGAGGTGGTAGTCTGCTCGTTCGGACCAGGGCCTTGTCGGGAAGCTTCTATTCGCAAATCCACATTGAAGTATCCGTGGTATTCCGTACGGCACAAAATAAAGGAGGCCCGGGGTCCCAGGTACAACACCATGGGACCTCTCTTGCGATAATCCACAGGCAGGCATTTGCATGGGAGTCTATAGAGAGGAGCCGATTGACTGTCGAAGAGGACCGAGGAGAAAAACAGGCAGAATTGGGGTTAGCACGTTCTCCACGCCAGCCACCCGGCGTATTTCCTGCTGGTGGTTGTGCGGTCGTGATGGTGTGGTGCTCCGTACTCCGTACGTATGTATGTACAGATACCGTTTCTCGAGAAAAGATCCCAGGGTCGAGAAAAGGAGCTAAGAATTGGCCAGGGTTTGTTTGGGGTCTGTTCATCGGCATCCCATCACCCCCCACCCCCCTGATGCCCAATCACAGGATGAACCCGTCCCCTGCTCTTGGGGATCGGATGGAGAATCATTGACTTTTTTATTTTTTCTCACTTCTCAATGTCTTTTCCCACCATGCACCTGTAATGCATCTGTACACTATGGTACGAGGCGTTCGACGTCGAGGACAGCGCGCCTCTCCACAGGCCACCATCTCCAGAACGAAGAGTCGCCACTTTTGTCTGACCGAAAATCACAGGTTGCTGATGGGCGGATATTGATAACGTGAGGGGAACCCAGCCTGAGCTGTAGCCCGCAACCTGTCTGGCATGTCTGTCTCTGGCCGCCCTTGCCGTTGACCCGCTTGAATGGTAGGGAGGTATGGTTGTTTGTGGTTGTGTCTCTGGAGCCCTAGGGTGCCTCTTCCTCAAGATTAGGCAAGTCAGAAGCGCTCTATCTGCACTCCGTAGACTCTGAATAGTGTTGGAAGCAGGATTGATAGGCCGTGGCAAGGTCGGGTTGGTGTGTGAATGCTTCTTCGAGGGTGACTCTCGTAGCGGCTCTCTCTCCCGTGGTCTGTCTTGGTCTTGTGTTTCTATTCGGTGGATATTGAGGCTTAGCAGAGGAAGGGTTCAGGAGGAGCATGCCGCTCTCTGCAGGGATCCATGGATTCATTCCATGGCCCGGGGCAATTGGCTTTTTGCGTCGTCGCCGCTGCAACACTGCAGTCTGCACTTTGTCTGCAGCACCGATGGCACTAAAACGATTGTTAGCGTCTCCTTCCTTGTGCCGCTAAAGAGATCGGGTGTCCATTGTTGCCCGGAGATGAATCTCCTCTCCACAAACTGCAACTTTGCACCGCGCGAGCCCACTGAACATCCATCCAGACTTCAAACTCCAGGGCCCTCTTCGCATCATTGCCGCAAGAAACGAGCGGTCTGATTATTCAATCCGATACTCTGTATCCTCTGTGCCTCTGTATCCGCAACGTATTCTCAAATACCGGTCTTGAGAGCGAGCAGACATGGTAGGGAATAGTCAAGGTGTCAAGAGGCGAGCCTTTGCAGCCTTGCCGAGGTTGCGGTGACGGCTTCTATCGACTTTTGGCTCGTTAATTTGCAGCCCCGGACCCGTTTGAGATTGGAAGGCCCGGCCTGTCCGTCCTTCGCCATTCGCCATATCTTTGCTGATCCCACGGCAATCCTCCTCTGAGGCTTGCCTGGCTCAATTCCAGCCCCGACCTCTGCTGGCCTTGTGGAAGCTGCCCATGCTTAGGTAGACATTTCATCCAGTCAGCGGCGTCAGCTAGACATTCCTGTGTTCGTTCGTATCCCCACGATATGACAGACACACTGACGACGACGACAAACCCGTGTCTATTCTGCCTGTCGGCTATTCCTTCGAAGCTGTGGCGCCAATTCGTAGATACGGACACACGGAGTAATCGAGAATCGAGACTCGAGAACGAACCAGTCGAATTCCCACTTGAGTGCGACTTTGCAGGTCGGATGACCAGACCCATTGTTGATTACGAGGTTGCAAAACACTGGAACTGTCTCGACGCTCTCCATAAAATGCGGCGTGAAAGTTATGGAGCCAAGACCACCTTGTTGTGCAGTAAACTTCGCCGCCAAACAGGGCCAGCCCCTCTTAATCCTCCCCTTTGGCTCCCTGTTAGCACAACTTTACGAGGCCACCATCTGCAACATGCACTTTCTGCGTAGCGAGACAAGACTCAGGAGTAAAAAAGTGTTGCCTATCGGCCTGACGGGAGGCGTCTGGGTGAGTCTGTGGGTTTCTCCCAACCGCCAGCATTCTTTTTCTTTCTTTCGTGAGGGTCTTGACACCGCTTGCTGAGTTCCATGATGTGTAGGGAGTATCCGTAAGAAGCACAGCTATCGCTGTTCCCGGCGTCCCACTGGCTGATCGCCACTCGTATTCTGCAGTCTTGTCCCCAACCAAGGCCGCTGTGCAGGACAACCGATGCAGCTAGTATGTATGGTTGTGCCGTCTAGAGCAGCTCGGTGGACGTCGACTGTTTGAAAGTTCATCTTTGTCCACGAAACAGTGAGATCGGGAGGGCTGGCAATGACTCGCTGACTCCAGAGGTTCAACTTGCATATTGAGGTGGTTGGCTCCGCCCGGATCTTGTCTGTTGCCTCCGAGACCCCTTCCTCCGGGGCGACGATCCCAAGCCCCCCAACGTCTCCGCATCGATGCCTCTCTCTGTTATTTGTAGACAGGTCGTAGAAGAGCGCTGACACCACACCGTTGACGGCAAAATTTGCCCTTCGAAGTTTGAGTTGCCATTGGGCTGCCCATGATAGATGTCAAGAATGGCAAAATGACCGCCACAACTGAACCTGTCAACTTGGCAGGGCTTTGGCGGCTACGAGCCTTTGCGGATGTTACTTGTACGTCGAGTTGGGTTTTCAAAACCAGAGGTCTTGGGTCTGACCGTGATGTCGTTATAATGCACTTTGCAAGTACCGAGAAGCCTACCAGCTGCCAACAGGGACGTACTGGGGTAGACGACGTAGAATCGAAATGGAAGCCGAAGACTTAACCCCCTGCTCGACAAGATGCGCTAGTCGAGAAGGTGTCGTGGGTGTCAACCCTCCAACTCCACCGCGGCTTGGTTTCTGCTGCCACCTGCTTCGTATCCGCACCGATGTGTTGGGATTCGGGAGTGTGCTGCGCGTAACCGTAGTGTACGTATTGATAGCGCGGGAAGGGCCTATTATTGTCGCACCAGACAGGATCATGACCAATGTCTTCTGTGCCCGATACTGTGTACACGTAGATCTCATCCTAAGCGCCGCAGCCGGTCTTCTTTCTGGCGTGGTAGCTTATAAGATATCAACATCACCTTGTTAAGATCCTTGGGCAAATGTTGTCAAAGTCCGAGAGTCAGTCGTCGGTGTGGGGGGGGGGGGGGGCAGGCATCAAGAACGTGTAGGATGTATGAGCTTTCAAGAAGTTGTAAAACAGCTGTGCAAGGTGCAGCAGTCTCCCGCGTAGAGGATGACAGTTTTGCAATCGTCTCGTACTTTGCCCAGGGTTGGCGAAGAAACAATGCGGATAGTGGTACGAATGATGTGGTCAATTCTCATCTAATGGCAGTGACACTTTATTACCATTCGAGTTTCGTTGTATCCGGACCTTCCTCTGTTCCCGATTTCCCTGGGAAAATTTAGGGAAGGAAGCTACCATTGTTCATCAGCCAAACAGAAGTCACTGTCTCAGAGGGGTCCTTCCTTTCTTGCACGAACCAGCAGAAGCGAGGGGAAGAACGAGCCGCAGGGAGGTACGAATACTAAGGTAAGGTTGGTGGTAGGAGCTTTTCTTATCGTCATGCTTTATCCGCATGGATCTCACCCGGGAAGCTGAGGTAGGCAATTATTTGGTAAACAATCACTCTGTCTCGTCGAAAGAGCACTCTCAACCGTCCTGGGATCGAATCGATTTCTTCTAGCGACGAAGCTGTGCTAACTAGCGCATTGTTTGCTCCTTACTGTGCGCTTCTTTGCCAAACTCACCCCTCAGATGTCATTCGCAGACCCGTTACATCTCACGGGCCGACTAATTGCCGCCCCAAGGTAGCATCACCGGCAACAAACCACACAGTCAACATTCCATCTTCTGCCCGCCTGCTAGCCAAAGTGGCCGCCATTCCACTCTTGGTCGATCTGCACAGCCACGCGGCACCACCCTAAGAGAACGGCGTCCAGCAAGCGCCCCGAGACAGGTCTTTCGTCAAGCTACCTACCTAAGACTCTTGATATCGTCATACGGCCAATACGTCACAATCACATTGCGCTTTCGCTGCCCTCGAGCAAATCCCATCTTCAACACAACATAACATCACGGCTGTCCATGAGGTACCATCCTCACACATGGATTCATGGACTCGGCGATAGAATCCCAGTTCCGACCGAACGGCGGACTCAACGGCGGCACAAATGGCCATATTAGACCTTCACACAAGGTCGCTACGGACGGAGCCATTCGAGGGTTACTTTCGCGTCAGAACAACAATGACACACGAGGCGGATTGTTTGGAGACGAGGAGGATGAAGAGGAAGAGACAGAGTCGCCAACCGAGTCGTCCGTGACAAGTCCATCGTCAGTGACGTCGCCTCCGTATTGGCTCGGCCACCACCAGCGCTCAGTTTCCAATATGTCGGTCGAATCAGTACTACCCGCCGGCGCGATCACAATGCACGATAACGAAGCGAGCGACGTCAACGGTCGAAATCGAGCCTGCTGGGCAAAGAGTGTCGAGATTACCGACTACGTCGTGGTGAACGGCAGCGCAACCAACATCGGGGCATTTGTTGTTTGGAACATAAGAGTTGAGACATTGCAAGTCAGTGATATCCCTGGCTCGAAGAATAAAGGCCTAAAGAGCACAATTCGAGGTTACGAGTGCAGTTGCTGACAAGACGCGTGCAGGGGAGCTATATGAACATTCGAAAGCGATACTCCGAGTTCGACGACCTTCGCGAAAAGCTGGTCAAGACGTTCCCCGATTTCGAAGCAGCAGTACCACCTCTACCACCCAAGAGTGTGATATCCAAATTCCGGCCCCGTTTCCTCGATAAGAGGAGGGCAGGGCTACAATATTTTCTCAAGTGCGTCTGCAAATGCATGTACAGTAGATGCCTTTCGGATGGTTGCTAACGATTCACAGTTGTATAATGTTGAATCCCGAGTTTTCTGGGTCGCCAGTACTCAAGGAGTTTCTCTTCTCGTAATGATAGTGTCTGAATACCTAAATTAACTTACTTCACCTTCTTGTACATCTTTTTGGGGGATATATTGGCAGAGCTGGACACGGCTAGGTATTTTGGGCGTCTTCCTCGCGCGGACGTCGAACGGGCAAAAGAATGATGGCCATCTGCACGTACATAGCGGTTTCAAACCGGTTGGACCATGCAAAAACATCAATAATGATAATGTTTTGCGCTATGAACCATCTTTCTTAGACGGCCGTTGTCGAAATATCTACCCATACCGAGAGATCAGTGACAGCTGGTGACGATAAATTCATCAGAACGGTGGCCGCCAAGCCCGTTGCCGGAAAAGTCTCGGCGGCCGCGGCCGCGTGGGGTACAGTGGAGATGCCAGAAAAGGGCAGGACGTAAAGATGCACCGCCGGACATGGTCCGTGGCGATGTGCTGTTCCCGCCGGCGTGAGTCGGGCCACGCTGGTTGGGCTTTTGAGGTGGCTCCCCACAGATTGACGCGTAATGTTCAGCAGGATGTACAGGGCTGGGGAGCGTCACTGCTGACTGGCAATTGAAAACGTGAGAATGGTCAAGGGTCTTTTGGGGTCCAAAGATCTTTCCTTGCAAATTGAACAAGATCGAGACACAAGAAAGCCTAACTCAGCCCCGTTTCTCTTCGTAAAGACAGCGGTAGGAAAAAACTAAGCCTAGCGTCTGGTCGTCTATAACACCGGGAACTTTGGATAGATTTGCTATTTGCGGATGGTCGTTACGATATCCTCTAGTTCCAGGTCCCTCAAAGTGGCAGTTGGTGTTACGCTGCTGGAGGTCACCACCTATTCGGGAGGTTCTGCGGACTGCGAAGGGCACCGGTGATACGCGCATAGACAGACGGCCGCGTGCCGACGGCCCCCATCCGCGATTCCGAGCAAAACAGTCCATCGTGCGTCACAGCCCGCGGTGTGGTATACACGCCAGCGGTAGTCGGCTGAGCAAACTTGATCACTGAGTTTTCTGCTTTTATGCTGTCCAGAAACAGTTGGCAACTTGGCACTGCCGTCGCCCCTAAGCCTTACTCTTCCACCCCACCGGCAAGGGTGTCCCCCGTGGTACCTCATGATGCAAGGCGGGCAAGTCTTTGTTTTTTTGCGTAGTGTTTTTTCCTCCTTCCAGTAGACTCTGTTCATTGTCTTGTCATTAAGGCGTCGCCGAGATTTAATCCCATGCCACCGGCGAGGATCTGAGAGCGCCCCACGAATGCAATATATTTCTCGATCGGTCACTCCTCCTGGGCGCATTCTTTACACTGCTTTTTGCTCTCCCTCCTTCTCCTTCTCTTCCAATTTTAGACCGCGCAATTTCCCGTTCTGCTTTACCTTACTTAAGTACCTTGACATCCATGTTCTTACAGCCGTACGGATAGTAATCATTATATGCTTACTTCAACCCCATCTCCGCTCCATCTTATGGCTCCTGCGCTTTATTACACGCTCAAGCTGCTGACTCCGTTCCACCCTCAACCTTGCGGGTGACTACCTCAAACAGCTATCAAGGAAAGTGACGTCGCTGTTGCTGTCTCCGAAGAAACACCAACCTTGGAACCAACACAAGCTCCAAACCCAGCCAGCAGCAGGAAAGTCATAGTTCGAAACGAAACAGACCACCGAACGCAACTCACCTAATCCACACACACACACACACACATACATAAAGCGACACATAGAAATAGGCCTGATGCCTGCGCCAACCGGCTCTCGGATCAGATCTCTATCCCTACTCTTTCGTCACGACCGGGCGGACCCCGCCATTCCACCAACCGCCATGACGAAACCCGCCCACGAGCTCGACTCTATACCGGTTCCAGCCCAGCAACTTGCTTCTGGTGGCGGTGCCGTGTCTCCGAGCGACGCTTCTGCCTCGTCTGCGCCTACGTCTGCGTCTGCACCACCACCACCACCCCAAAAGACCCCTCTTCTTCACCAAAAGGATGCTCCTTTTAACGGTGTCGCCGCCGCCGTTATTACCCCGCCGGCCAGTCCCCCCGTGCCAAGACCTGTCGACGAACAAGACGAATCCCACTCCATATTTTCCCCTGCTGCTACTGCGACTACCACTACAGATACAACCGCCACCACGGCAGCCACCACTCACACGGCTGATTCTGCAACGGCCCCCCCTAGTGACGACACATGCTCATTGGCGCAGTCGCAGACGAGCACAAACTACAGTTCTCGCCAGGAGTACATGGACAGTTTGGTCCCGCCGTCCCAAGATCAATTTGAAAAGATTGCAGAGGTACAGCGCACGCGCGAGGAGGAGCTAAAGAGGAATAAGTCGAAGCGCCAGACACAACACCTCCACGACCACTTTCACAACGTTCGGCGCTCACAGGGCGGACAAGGTGACGCTGCCGGGGACATTTTCGACGAAGCGCAAATAATGTCGCAAGATCCACCGCCAGCTTCAGCCAAAGAGGGTGAACAG